ATATTGGTGACAGTTTGTGTGGTACGGTGGAGGCTGCAATATGGTTTTGAGCCTATGATATGACAAATGTACTACCTGTCCAATGGTGACATCCATGAAAACCGTGGTATCCAAGGTTTCGGGTACCATATTGGATGAGTGCATTGCGAATTTAATCGTGATCAAATTGGATACTATTTTAGATGGTGGGTACCACATTGGGTTAACTTTGATCTTGACCACAATGTGTTTGATAGTTGCCTTGACGTGGCGCCACCTTGCTACCTCTTGACTGAAAAAGGTGAAACACTTGCGACCCTCGCGATGCAAATCAATTTGTATGCGCTCGATAGGTGCCGGGTCAGTGAAAAAGGTAACTTTTTGCTGCCCATTTTGATCGAGTTGGGACCCTGTAATAGTCGTTTCGATGGTTGTATGATGATTAAACTGTATGCTCATGTTAAACAAATCGTGCATGGTCACATTTTTAAGCGTGTTCAGTTTGTTGACAAAAGCGCCATAGTGATTGTAAAATAAACTTTTAGCCAGGGTCTCGTTACGTAAATAATTATACGGTCCCTTAACGTAATTTATATATTCGGCGTATGTTGGCCCTAACTCAGGGTACTTTTGGGCCATACACGACATATTGATAAAAGTGGGATAGCATACGGTAAATGCGGGTATGTTTCGGTCGGCTACCGGCTCCACCAATACGGTTACCAGTGTCTGTCGCCTCAGGTATTTAGTGGTCAGTTGTATGGCGTTTAGCACGAGTCCGGACACACAGATCATTGCGAACAGGAGTCGCGCGGCTAGTTTTAGGCGGCGTTTAGTCGGCGTTTGGCGCCATTTTTGGCGTACAGTCGGCCGATGTATGCGTTTTATGTCTTTTAACTCAACCTCGTCTGCCATTAGTTTGTAATCAAATTGTTTTTATAATATTTTTAAAAAATACTTTTAAATGAATTAACTTTTTATTTAACACAATATCATTTTTCACATAGTTATCTATGTTTGTGATGCTAATTAATCATACGGTAGATAAATGTTAATATAAACATGCGTTAATATGATAATTTGTCTATGCGTTTAATATTTATTAATATCCTAAGTGTAATTAATCAATTTTATTTCTATGTAGCTTATTTATTAGGTACAATGTTTAAATTAATATGCATAATAAGCATTTTAAATAGTTTTACATATAAATTATAAATTTATAATAATTTCTTAATTAATGTATAAAATTATAAGTATTAAAAATATAAATTAATTATACAATTATTTTTATTATTATAAATGATATAAATATTCAACTTTATTATTTTAAAACACATTAAAAACTTGAATAATAATTTTAAAACAAAAATGCCCAGGACATGCTATTTGTTAACAAAAATGTTGATATTTTCTAGCAATCTATACTCACATAGTTTTGCTTAAAGGACAAAGGTGATCAAAAGGCTCACAATATTTATAACTACCACAATATATATTACTTATTATATTTACTGAAAATGATTTAATACGGGAATCGGGATTATGCTTGAATATATAACACATGAATATATTGTAATCACTTTCATAAACCGGATGTTTGAACACATAAAATTTAACAAAGCTCAAATTTTTCATGATTGCTAATTGCTTTGTTAAGTTTATTTTGAATTTATTAGTGCTCAAGGTTAAATAGCGAATATTTTTGCAATTAATAGCTATATTTTGCAATATATCAGGGTCCAATCCCTGTTTACACGATTGTGTACCGATAATTTTTAAATCAGTAAGCTTGGTAAATATTCCCAATTTTATATTAGCATCCAGTTTTTTAGTAATTATCTCTAAGCGTTTAATCTTGGTAAAATTTGTGTTAATAATACCCATAAGACCCTCCATATTACCCCGATTGTAGATTTTTAGTTTTTTCAACCTAGTCCGATTAGTGCCAATTGTGCCAAAATTTTGTAAAACTTTGCTTGTTAATATAATGCCTTTAAAATGTAACTCAATTGCAACAAGGCCACACATTTTTGATAAATTAGTCATAAGTTTATCAAGTGATATATCATCGCAATAATGATCTATCACGATTTTTATAGATTTTAGACAAATTTAATAATGATCGACAAATACCTCGAAACATTTCACACGACCAGGCTCATAATCAATATCAATATGCCTTAGATTTCTATGATATATTAACGGATTTTTGGTAGCATGTTCAGTTATAGATATACGTAGTTCAGTATTTGCACAAAATAATATGGATAGTAAACAATATTCGCGCATTAAATTAGCAGGCTCAATATAGAAACATTGTAAATTAGTACAGTGTTGTAAATTGCTCTCGATCACACATGCCTCTGGGTTATCGCAAATGATTTTAATTATTTTCAAATCCTTTGCGAACTTTTTAAAAAATTGTTCAAGGCAATTTTCGGTTAGAACTTGTCCCTCATCAATTATACCCTCAATAGCGTATAAATGGTGACAGTATTTAGTTATTAAAGTAATTGTGGTTTCACTCATAGTGCTAAAATTAATGATCCTGGTGATATTTGGACATTTTTGTAATATCTTTTCAAATAGAGCGTGGTAATTTTCATAATTATGTAGATTTTCATGCAATTCTTGAACGTTCAGAATATTCTGTGACCGATATATGACTCGTTGCCACTGTTTGGACAGACATTCAAATGAGAACCTCTGGTGGATCGGGAGGTAAGACAGTATGTGTTCACACAAGTCGTCGCCGAAACGGTCGAAACGGGGTTTCACTGAAACTTGTCGTGCGATTGAATCCATACTTTCTAACGACATATCAATTGATTTTTTCATCTAAACAATATTGATATAAAAAATATTAATAAAATTTGGGTTTGTTTTGTGTTATCATTTTGAAAATAGCGCAATTTACAGTAGTATTGTTTCAAGGTCATTTATATATTTTATTAGGAATTGCACATTACATGAGTAATAAATTTAGTAACATGCTATTGTTTACAATTATATAATATGTTCAGTAAAACAATTTAAATAAATATAATTAATTTAGATACCTACTCGTAATATTGAATTATATTACCGACTATTATAATTTATCTGGAAATATATTTAAAACTCAAAACATTAATAAACTGTTAATAAAAATATAAACACATAAATTCATTGACTGTATTCCGTATGTGAAATATAGTGTATTAGTGGCGCCATTAGTAGCAAACTCGCAAACTATAGTGAGAGGCCGTGGGTTCGCGACCCATTCGGGGCAATATTTTTTAATGATAATCATTTTACTTTTTATTCGAATTTTATTTTAATTTAAATTTCGCCAAGTTAAATATAATCATAAATGTTTTCAAACTGTATCAAACATATAAATAATAAATGCGCACACAAAGTTAATGTACCAAGGTAGGGGCCCATTAACAAAGGCCCCAGCGGTACAGTATGACCTAGTTGTTCGTTGACTATCATTAGCCCATTTACATGTTAAAGATGAGGGATTATCGCAAAGTTTTATGTAGTCGTTCCACTGTAGGCCTCCCGGACAGGACCAGTCATAGGCCACACACTCGTCCGTACACTTCACGAAATGGTTACAGTTTGTGGTGTTCGGGTACATACAGTCTTTGGGACCTTTGCACCCGGTACGTTTAACCTCGTCCCATGGACAGTGATAATCAGGTATAATTGATGTATTAGCTTGAGCTAAAAATAATACAATAATATAATACATAGCATAAATAATATTTAACATGATGAACGCAAACTTTATTTATTTATATGCTAAAAAGTGGGCTTACTGTTTATTTTTAAGATATACACAGTAGTAAATATAAATATGCATATTAATTCATTCATTTTATATAATACATTACAGTTTAGTTTATTATATAACAATATATAATAAAATAATATTAACCATTTATTTTTTCATATCCTTATATATAAGAATTAATTCTTATACTATATATAATATGAAGTATTTAGATAAATATTAATAAGTTATCGGTAATACTATAATAAAATATCACGGATTTCTAAGTCTAATTGACACTTTTAACTTAATATCCTGTTATTGTATTTTGTTACTGTATTTTTATTTCAGATTTATTATGAAAGGTTTTTATTGATAATAATATATCACAAACTTTGTTTAGTACTGTAAAGTGGGACGAATTAATTGATACGTTCTAGGTGGTGTAATGAATAAATATAATAGTTATAAGTGCTAATATAGTATCATTAAAGTTATACCTTTATTAAGAATATAATATTAGGTATTATATAAATTTATTTATATTCTATAAAATATTATCCCATAAAATTCACTATTTTATAACAGTAATAGAAATTATACAACTTTTTTGAATTAATATGTTATTAAAATATTCATAATAAAAATTTTCCGACCATTAATTTTTAAAACATATCATATTTTTCATGAAATTAATGAAAATACAAAATGAAAATACTTATGATAACAGTTTATTTTCAAGTATAATATGGATTCAGTTTACATTATATAAATGGTTGGACACCTTTACCACAATGACTACAAATATCATATTTATTCAAACATGACCCCAACCCCAGCCCCCAATTCGGCGCCCATAAAAGCCTCCGTATCCGCCGCCTCCATAACCAGAACCATAGCCATACCCTCTCCAACCTCCGTAATCACCATAACCTCTATTGCCTCGGAAAACGACAAAACCTCCCATTGCTTCTCCTATTTGACAATATATTAGGTATATATTAGTATAAATATTGAATACTTATATTATTTATATAATGATCTATATAAGCTATATAAGTTATATAAATCATTATATAAATAGTGTGAATAATATTTTAATTATATAAATAATGAACATAATAGATACCGCTTGGAATGGAAGTAAGTAGTATTAGCATTGATACATAAAGTAAGTAGCTCCAAATTTGTTTATTATTCATTATGAAACTATTATTGTTAACAATTATTATAGCGTTTGAGATTTACTTGGATGTGCGAGATTATTGTAATCTATCAAATATTTATAGTCATCCATATCAAGGACATCTTACGACTTTTATAATTTTAACTCATATATACCCGTAAGATATTTTTTTTATAAAATAGCATTGTAAATCTTATGAATAGTAAATTATGTGGTGACTTAAGTAAAGTATTTGAGAACTTTTATTTATTTTAATAAAATACTTTCATATTTTACTAGATCATTAATCCAAAGCTCTACTAAGATAATGAAGGACATATAAGTACAATTAATGTACCTGTATATTGAAAAATAATACTTTACATTATACATATGTCTTACAGAGAATATGATATCAGATAAGATGATATTAATAATGAACTTATTATTATATAGTATATTATCAAACCACAATATAATATTGGTTGCAATGAAAATAAATTTTGAATGTGTATGAACACGATTAATATTATTTACACAGAGTATTTAGAAAGTTCGTTCAACAGTCCTTGAACAGTTAATTACAGGGGTATTGGTGCATGTAACTCTATAAGTTTTTATGGTGCAGTTTAATAGATTTTTATAAATAAATCAGCATTTTAAAAAGATTCCCAAAAAAGTCCTAATTTTTGCATTATATGCTGAAAATAGGCATTTATTTTGCACCACAAACTGTATAGTATACAGTGTACAATGTATATTTAGTGTTGCCAAGTCTAAACTTTTTAAAACGAGATTTTTAGTATTTCCAGTGTGAGCATATAAAAAAAATAAAAAATACTTGTATTTTTGAATAAACCTCCCAAAATAACCATATCATTTTGACCATGATAGACACATATTTCAAATTAAATTATCAGACTTCACAATTTAACTTAAACTCAGTTTATAAATTACGTTTAATTTTACTGCCAATTTTATTGCTCAAAGGTTAATTACATTATTATAATTTATTACTACCATTATTATAATTATATTTATAATTGTTTACTGCCAGTATATTGAAAATTTGATTTTAATTTAATTAACATAATTAATTATACTAAATCAAATCGTTAAAGTATACAACTTAATCAGAATTCATACAAATATTTATTAAATGTAAAACAAAACATTACATTTAATTATTATAAATTATTTGTAATCATAATTATACTTACAGTATTTATAGTTATTTTTTTTAATTACTTAGGTTTTTCAATATTTTATAATCTTTTTAATGAGATAATTATAATTGTAACTTTTTAGTGTTATATAAGTATACCGTAGTACTAGTGCACAGAAATACAGGGATGACATTAAATG